ATATATTGCTGTATGCTTGTTTCTTTAGTTAATCACTTGTTCTCATATACTAGTACAAGGGTTCAACTGCCTCAACTTCCGCTGCACTACTCAAAAGTCTTATTCTACAACTGGGACTTAGTCTCTGGAAAGATCCTAAGGGCTTTTATCAGCCCAACAGCTACGACCACTGATTACTAGCATTTCGGATCTGAGCTGAAGCTTGCTAGAATTGTCATGTTCTGATATATTACAATGTGACAAATCATCAAGGCACATAGGCCGAAACGTGGCTGCCACCGTCAGAGACCTGCTGGCTTAAGTCACTGGCCTTGACCCGTCTACAGCAAGTCACCTCAGTTGGAGGGTAAAAACAAAGAATTTAACAAATGAACAGCATGCACGCATGCAGCCTTCCTGCCAAGCCCTAACCCCTGCAGGCATATCTCACACAGTCACTGGAAGACACCCCACAGTTCACAGCAATGACTGTGGTGGGATGGATGATTAACAAAGCCAGTGAAAAGATAGCCCAAGCCCGGAGGAACCCGAGCAGAGGGATGGACCCGTCTCCCTCCCTTCTGCTGCACCGGAGTCCGCCCCCGCGAGGGCTAACCCCCATGGGGCGGAAGCAGAAGCGGAAGCAGAATCAACGAGGTCTGCAGAGCACCTTGCCGACGTAGAGCGTGTAGCGGTTGCAGGAGAAGCCCGTGTTGTAGGTGTACATGAGCGAGGAGCGGCAGCGGAACACCTTGCAGATAACCGAGCTGCACGTGTCGCCGCGCACCACCGTGTACGTGCCGTACAGGCACCGCGTGGCTCCCACCGTCAGCGACTGCACACACACCTGGAGAGCAGGAAGGGGGTGAAGGAGGGGGGAAGGAACAGAGAGAGGTCAATAGGAGAGAGCAACAGAAGCAAATTAGAGCTGGTGGTTGTAAGAGCCGGCAAACAAGAGGTAGGATGCAAGGTGCCAGAGCAAGGTACCTGCTGGCCAACGAGCCGTTGCGAGGCGTCAGCAGTGCAAATAATTCCAGGGTTGTACTGGTACAGCTGGGTGGCAGAAATGGGCGGCTGCGTGTTGATCATGACATCGTTGCACGTCTCCCCGGGGTTGATGTAGTAGTATGACAGGCACGACTGGTTCTGGGGGTTGCCGATCTGCGCGCACAGCTGCTGGCCAATCATGAGAGCCAAGCAGTCTAGGTCCGGGTTGATGGTCTTCAGCCCATCAATTGTCAGGTTGAACATCGTTGCCACCGTGTCACACGTGTCGCCCTGCGATTGGGTGGCAAGGAGCGGTGGGAGGAGTGGGAAACAGATGGTTTTAAGTACGAGTGATTCTGAGAAATTTTAAAATACACTGATGGAGGGCGGATAAAGGTATTCAGTGGGTATTGGCAGGACGGAGGGCGGAAAGGAAGGGGGAGGGGTGGGGGAAGAGAGGTTGGGCGCAGTGGCAGGGTGCAGAGAGGGACTTACGGGTCCAACGGTGTACGGAGTGACGCAGCCGTATTGCGTGCCCGTGGCATTGCGCACGACAACAGTGGTGCCCGCTGGAATAGGCTTGACGCATCCAATGGTCTGTAGGGACAGTACAAGGGCGAACGGAGGGGAGGGGAGGGTGAGTGGGCCAGCAGGCAAAACGCGAGATCGAGCGGAGCGCACAAATAGCAGCACAAAATACTCAATTGTAGCGAGGAGATGAACGGGTAGAGGGCACTTACCGGGTTGAGAGCGACGAAGTCGACCTTGGACATGATATATGTGGAGCGCACTTGGGCGCACTTCATCGCCACAGGAATGGTCACCGTGGTTGAGGGGGGCGCTGAGACAGAGAGAGAGAGAGAGAGAGAGAGAGAGAGAGAGAGAGAGAGAGAGAGAGAGAGAGAGAGAGAGAGAGAGAGAGAGAGAGAGAGAGAGAGAGATAGAGAGATAGATAGAGAGATAGAGATAGAGATAGAGATAGAGAGAGAGAGAGAGAGAGAGAGAGAGAGAGAGAGAGAGAGAGAGAGAGAGATAGAGAGATAGAGAGATAGAGAGATAGAGAGAGAGAGAGGGGAGAGGGAGACAAGTGTGAGTGAGAAGGTTTCCAGGATAGGTGCTGGAAAAATCGAGTGGACTATAGGGGGAGGGAATGGAGGGAAAGATGGAGGGAGGGGAGGTGGGGGGGAAGAGAAGGTCAGGAGAGAGGGTGGAGAGGAGGGGAAGAAGGCCAAGAGAGAGGAGGGCTGTTACCAACTTACCAGGGACACAGGTGGTTGAGCCGTCAGTGAGCGCTCCCACTTGGTAGCCGAGGGAGCAGAGGCAGGTGTAGCCACCAGCCATGTCGTCCATACACGTGCCGAAGCCACAGGGGTTCATCACAAAGAACGCACACACGCGCACTGCAGGGCAAACGAAGAAGGGGGGCGGGACGTGGAGAAAAGAAAGAGGGAAACAAGAGGCAGTGAGTGAGGGGTGGGAGGACGGGAACAGGCAACCCATGCCATTCCACTCGAGACACTTGGAAGAGAATAGCTGCTGAAAGAAACCAGGCGAAGAGAGAGGGAGAGCAGAGAGAGGGAATGGAGAGCAGACAGGCAGGCAGGCAGGCGTACTCATTGTGCAGGACTGGGTCTTGTCGAGGTTGGTGACGGCCATGAAGTTGGCCGGGCACGAACACTTGTTCTTGAGCGCCTTGCCCTTCTGCGCCGTGCACACACCGCCGCCGCAAGGGTTCGGCTTGCAGGGGTCGGGCGCTGGACAGACGGAGAGGGGGGAGGGGAGGCAGGGCATCACAGGAGGAGAGTTAGCCACGTTCGGTGATTAGGAAAACAGAGAGGGTGCTTATCCGACACGGTAAGGACAGGAAATTGAAAGGGGGTCGGAAGGGGGAGGGGGGAGACGACAGGAGAGAAACAGGTGAGGAAGGGAGGCTTACTCTGGAGAACTGGATACATGGCCGGCAGCATGTGCATGCCGCAGATGCCCGGGCCGCCCGCAATTGCGATCTTCATGTAGCCATTCTCGCCCCACGAGGGACCCCAGGAGTTGCGGATGATCCAGTGGGGCGTGGCGTCCAGCAGGTTAAAGCCCACTACCAGCACAAGATGGTCCACGACCTCAGTGGTGAAGCAGTTCAGATCCGCATAGACAAAACCCTGCGACAATGGAAGGGTAAAAAATTGACAAAAAACATCAGGAACAGAGCAAACACAACAGGAAACGCAAGAATGGCAGCAGTAAAGAGCGCTGCTACCATGGAAAGAGGAACGGGGAGAAGCAGAGAGGGGAGTGCCAACAGGGAAGCAAAGAGTACATGCCAAACAGAGCAAAGCAGCTCGCACCGACACCCCCAGTCACCACCTACCCCAGGGTACTTGACAAAGGATTCAGCCGAGGCAGCAATGTACGCCACTGCGGGCTGCTGCTGCACAGTGAGCGCAAGCCCGATCCACCCTCCGATCTGCACCGTCTCAAACATGGAGATGGCATACGGAGCCGAGGGCATCACAGGAGGTGCCGCCTTCTTGGATTTCAGACTGCGGATGGCGCGGGAGAAGATGTCCGAAGGATTCGCCAAGTCTGGGGAGACGGACGCGGAGGCAGAGGAGGCGGAGGACGAAGAGTCGGACAAGTGCGAGAGCGATGCGGTGGAGATGGGTGAATCCTCGAGAAGGCGGCGGCGCAGAGAGAGCGAGCGCTTGGTGACCATGCACGAGCCGGAGTTGAGGATCCCGGTGTAGGGGTAGCTGTCGCTGCTGGGGAGCCCGCCCGAGGCGGCAATGTAGTTGAAGGCGTCGTCGGGGCGGCCGCCCTCGCAGTTCCACGTGCCCTGGCAGTCGATGGCCTTCTGCTCTGAGATGTTGGGAGGTGCGTTGTTGTACACTATGGCGTACAGCGCCTCCATGGCCGCCACTGGCGCGAAGATCCAGCAGGCGGCTGAAAGAGAGGGGGGAGGGGGAGACGAGGACGAGAGCAAGGGGGGGAGAAAGGGAGAGGGGAGGGAGGGCTTAGATTGGCGCCGCTGGAGCGGGAAAGAGCTGGCTGGTGTACAGTCAAGAAACGGAAGTGTGACTAGAGCGGGTCGAGCAGCTTACAGCAGAGGCCCTGGTCCTTGGCGGCGAGGAGAGTGGCGGGGATGCGGGCGCGCCAGTCAACAGAGGGGTTGATGTTCCACAAGGGGCTGGTGTAGTTGCCGGTGAAGCCCAGCGACGCGTAGCGGAAGTACTTGTTGTAGTAGGAACTCGAGAGGATGGCTGACGTGTCCTTGGCGCCCTTGTATTCGCGCTTCTTGATCGTCCCGGGGTCCAGGGTGGGCGGAGCTGTAAGGGAAGGGGGGAAGAGAGAGAGAGCGAGAGAGCGGGAGGGAGGGAGGGAGGGAGCAGAGGAGAGGGCAGACAGCAGGGGGGAGATGAGTTCATTAGGTTTGGCAGGAAGGCGAGGAAATATGCGAGGGATTGGAACCCGGCAAGAAAGAGCGGCGCCACAAGAGAGGGACTTACGGGGTGCAGTGGGGCCCTGGTTGGGCGAGCAGGAGGGGTAGGTGATCATCACTTTGCCCACTTGGACAGTGAGCTGCACGGCGAACATGCCGGCGTTGCAGGCGCAGGTGGGGGTGTTGGAGGGGGACGCCAGGTAGCACGTGCCCAGGCCGCCACAGGGGCCCGACGGCAGCGCCGCGCCGCAGAAGCCAACGCACTCAACGGCTCGCCGCTGCGCTCCCACCGCGCACCCCGTGCCCGCACTCGCGCTTCCGCCACTGCCGCCGTTCCCATTCCCATTCCCGTTGCCATTGCCGTTGCCGTTGCCGTTGCCGTTGCCGGTGCTGCTGCCCTTCTTGGGACCCTTCTTGCCCTTGCCAGCCTTAGCAGCCGAGTAGTAATAAGAAGTGCCGGACGCAGAACCCCCAGCCGAGAAAGACGACACCGACTTGCCATACGCATTCCCATTCCCGTTCCCGTTGCCAACGCTGTTCTTCTTGAACTTCTTCTCGAATCCAGTCCCCTTGGCCGCGACGTCCTTGTTGTGCTTGCCCTTGCCCTCCGTGAAGCTCTGCGACACGTTCCAGAAGCCGCCCAGGAAGCAGTTGTCCTTCATGCCGCTGAATTTCGACACGCCGAACACCTCCAGGTTGGCGTCCGCGTACCCGCCCTTCACGTCCGACGGGCAGAACTGCGTGGCGCCGGCGGTGAAGACGGCGGGGTAAGTAATGAAGTAGTTGCTGCTCAGGTCGTACGTCGCCTGCGCCGCGCTGCCCATCGCCGCAGACGCGAAGGCCGAGATGGGCGTGCCCGACAGCTGGTTCTTGCTCACGTCGCTGCCATGGGGGAGAGAGGCAGAGAGAGGGGAGGGGAGAAGGGGAGAGAGGGGGAGGGAGAGGGCGAGAGAGTGAGGCGGGGAAAGAAAGTGGGGGAGGAGAGGGGAGGGGTGAGCCCGGGAGACGTGGAAGAAGGTGCGTGGGGGGAGGAGGGCGAGCGAGGGAAGGATGGACAACGGCAAGGAGCGGAGGGGGTGGTTGCACGTGGAGGATTGGAGAGACAGCATAGGACGCTTACAGGAAGATGAGGTTAGGGAGGGACGCGAGGGAAGGCGGCAGGCTGCCGTAGAAGGCGTTGCCGTTGAGATCACTGCGGACGAGAGACCGGGGGGGAGGGGGAAGAAAGCGAGGAGAGTGAGTTGAGGCACTGACCACGACGGCACAAATACACGAGCGCAAGACAAGTACAACGAAGGCACTAGCAGTAGCGCAAGTCCAGGCAGAAAGGAGTGCAAGGGCTGGTGAGAGCAGGGGTTGGTGAGAGCAGGGGCTGGTGATAGCAGGGGCTGGTGATAGCAGGGGCGCTGGTGAGAGCGCGGAGGAACTGACAGTGCAGCGAGGGAGGCGAGGTTGGAGAAGGACGAGGAGAGCACGCCCGAAAGCTTGTTGTCGCCCACCAGCCTGCCAGCGGACGGAACGAGACGCGGCGCAAGACGCGAAGAGGGAGAAAAGCGCAGAAAAAAATGTCGTTAGAGCAGGCTTTGCAGATAAAAATGACATAAGGATGCCAAAGAGAGAGGGAGAGAGAGGGAGAGAGAGAGAGAGAGAGAGAGAGAGAGAGAGAGAGAGAGAGAGAGAGAGAGGGAGGGAGAGAGAGGGAGGGAGAGAGAGAGAGAGAGAGAGAGGGAGAGAGAGAGAGGGAGAGAGAGGGAGAGAGGAAGAGTGAGAGACGCGCTGAAATGACGCGATGAAAACCAAGCGCAAATACGGAGGAGGCGGGGCAGGGCAGGAGGGGAGCGGGCGTACAGGTGGCGGAGCTGGTTGAGAGAGTAGAGGCTGTTCGGGAGGTTGCCCGTGAACGCATTGATGCCCAGAGCCCTGCAGCCACGCGAGCAGCCACGCGAGCAGGCAAGCGAGCAGGCAAGCGAACAGGCAAGCACGCACGAGTACAAGAGCGAGGAGGAATGAGTTTGAGAGGCGTGGACGTGTCGTGGAGGTGCAACCGCTAACAAGACCCGAGACGCGAGATGCGAGACGCGAAACACGCGCAGGAAAAGGACACGGGGCGGAGATGGAGTGCGGACACGAGGGCAGGATTTCGAGGAGGGGGACGCCGAGGGGAACGGATCGAGTGACGGCGGGCAAAAACTCAAGGCGTGTGTGGGGGAAGAGCGAGCGCGCGTACAGTGTCTGCAGGCTGCCCATGCCCCAGAAGATGTCCGGGATAGCGCCGGAGAGACGGTTGTCGCTCAGGTCGCTGCAATAGGGGAGGGGGAAAGCGGGAGCGGAAGCGGAATCGGGAGCGGGAATAAGGGAGACGTCGTTAGTTGGTGACGAAAGAAATGCATGAGTAATGTCTGACGAGGATAGGACCGTGTGTGCGCGAGTGGAGTGTGAGGCTGAGAAGCTGAGCGCAAAGTTGAGCGCAAAGCTTAGCGCAAAGCTGCGCGGGAGTGCGGAGTTGAGCGAGAGGCCGAATGGGTTGGGACGTACAGCACTTGGAGGCTGGCGAGGTTGGCGACGCTGGAAGGGATCTCGCCCTCGAGAGCATTGCGGCTCAGCGACCTGCAGGGACGGCGCAGCGAGCGACAGGGAGCAGCAGTGAGCGACAGCGAGCGACGGAGAACGGAGAACGAACGGCCGCGTTGCGGAGTGGGTGCGGAAAAGCACAGATAGGGGCGGCGAGTGGAATGGAGAGAGTACACCGGATTTGCGCATAGGACGCCAGGCCGAGAGCGGGACGTCTTAGTGCGGCATGTCAAGTGCTGAGCGTGCGTACAGGCTTGTGAGTGCGCTCATGTAGCCGATGTTGGCGGGTATGCTGCCGGCCAGGTAGTTATTGTGCAGATCCCTGCGCGCGAGAGAGGACGGCGACGACGAAGAGGACAAGTGAGTACACGGACAAGACGAGCAGAGAGAGAAAGCGGGAGAGCGAGAGAGAAAGGGAGCGCGAGAGAAAAGGGGGCGGAAGGGGGAGAGAGGGATCGAAAGGAGCGGAATGGGAGGATGGGGCAGGAAAACTCACAGCTTTTGCAGCGCGCCGAGCTGAGTAACGGCGGCGGGAATGGTCTGGCCTGCCAGCTGCCCTCGGTTGGCGATTTCACTGGAGACAGTAAAGGGGCGGCAAAAGAGGCGGTGAGGGAGACGGCAAGAGGGCGAGAGACGAGGAGACCGGATAAGGAAGACGGCAAAGCGCACGGTGCAAGTGAGGGAAACGCGCAGGGTGCGGCGAGGGAAAAGCGCACGGCGCAGAAAGATCCGGACGACGGTGGGCGCATTGACGCGGACATCCGGACGGTGGGAGACGAGATACTGGAGGTAGAACGACCGGGACAATGACGAGAGAAGACACGGCGATGTACAGTGAGATGACACGCTGGCGTACAGTGGGACAAAACGGCGACGTACAATGAGATGACTTGACCGTCGTAGCTGCACGTAAGGCCGAGCCAGCCGGAGCAGTCCACAGCTACGAACCACGTCTGCGCTAGTCTGGGCACGTAGTCGCCCCACGCCGCCAGAATCGCCTGCAGCGCGGGCTCTGATGGAGACGACGGGGAGAGGAAAAAGGGGCGGGAGGGAAGGGAAGGAAGGGGAGGAAGAGGAGGAATGGGAGAGGGGAGAGAGGGGAGAGATGGGGAGGGAGAAACGGAGGGTGCGGAGAGAGGGGACGAGGAGTAAGTAAGCGGAGGGGTACAGGAAGGTCGCGGTAGCAGAAGCCGAGCACAGTCGAAACGCGAGCAGCCGGCGGAGAAGTAAACAGACATTCGGCAGAGGCAGGCGAAAAGATACGAGCGGCGAGTTTAAGGCGGGACAACCGAGGGAGACACACTTTGACTGTCGGCGACTGGTTGAGCGGCTGTCAGGGGAGAGAGCGCGGCAAAGAGGGCGAGGGAGAGGACAATCCGCAAGGAAACGGCGGGAGGATGCCGATGGTGCTGATGTAGCGGGCCCATGGCTGCCGCGTGTTGTGCACGTCTTCCGAGGCGATTAAGTGGTCGATAGAAGGGACGACAGCGAAGACGAAGAAGTTCTGAAGAGTGGGAGGGGAGGGGAGACCACGAGATGCGGGGAAGGGAGGAGGACAGGGTGGGGATGTAGAGAAAGTGAGACGCGAAGCGGCGAGAAGAGAACAAGAAACACGGCTCATTCCGATGGCATTTGACCGCGTCTCCTTTTCCCTAGCCCTGCTCCTCTCCCATCGTATTACAGGCGTAGCGCCCGGGCCTCCAAAGAAGCCCGATGGACCATAATGCAAAGCTACGAGTAGGTCTTGGAATAGGCACCCGCGTTGCGTCGTCAATATGCGTAAAAGCTCACGCGCACTATCCATCACCGAATCGTGTATCCGCAATGCGTCCCCGCCCTCAAGGAAAAAGTCGGCGAAAACAACGAAAATCTATCCTAATGCTCCAAAAACCCGCCATTTGGCACACGAAAATCTACCTAGAAGTTTTCTGTTGTGGCTGGCGCAGGATGGCTTGCTTTCGCGGACTGCAGCAATCACGTCTTCCGTTGTTCGCAGGAGACTTCCACGCGACTGGGGTTCGGTTTTTCTATCAGACAGAACGCACTGCTATTAGCTCAGAAGCCGAAATGCTCGAGAAGATATCTGGCTTGACTACCTTATTTTTTCCGTAGCTGAGACTCTGACTTAGACGGAGCTAGAGGCAGTATGTATCTGTGCCAACAACCCTGACATTCCTCGGCATAGTCGGTGGTTGCTTGGGAAGAGACGCTGTACAGTGCAATCTAGAGCAGCAACAGGAGACTAGGTTGTTGGTTGCAATGGCGCGGATCAGGCGCAGTTGGGAGAAACTGCTTTGCGGGATGAGGACACGACACGCCGCATGACGCTCTCGACACATCACATGGGTTTGCGTAGCAAGTGCGTCGCATGACTCCTACCCAATCCATGTGACTCTGAGGCGCATCGCATAGGTTGGGAATCATGCGACTGTGTGCGACCTGGGACTATGCGATTGGGCAGGCAAGGGCAGCAGCCACATCAGCTCAGATTGGGCAAAGTCGAGGACGGGGCATATGCTAAAATGGGTTTCCGGTCTGGGGTTTCGTCTAGGCAGGGCTGTGGTGGCCTGGACGAGTTTCGGTTTTTGGCAGGTGTGTCGCAAGGGCAGTTGGTGAGTGAATGGTGGAGGTGTTTGTTTTGATTCGAAATGCCAGGGCGAAGCAGTGGAGCTTGCACATGCAACCGCATCCGCACCGCACTGGCTGCTCCCTCCAATGACCTTCGAATTTCGTGGCGCAGATGCGCAGCAGTGCAGGCAAAAGCAAAGCGAGACGAACAGATGAAGCAGAAGGGGGGAAGGCTCACGTCAGGTGAAACGTAATTCGTGCATGCTCACCCTGATTGGTTCTGTTTGGGGGAGGTTTAGCAAACAGTACAATTGACATGGCGATTCCCAGGAGATTCCATTGGGGATGTTCAAACAAGACACACCCGCCAGTCGAAACGTTGAGTTTTGCGGGGTGTTAAACACCGAAATTTGTGGAGCACCTAAGAGCGGGCTGAAATACTCCGACGTTGGGAAAAAAAAACATCGTAATGTGGTGGCAATTGCTTTGTACTGAATTATCAGTTTTCTGTGCGCTGGGACGAGATGAGATGTGATGGTTAGAGCCCGATTCTAGAATGGTAGAAAACCATGATTACTGACCATGAAAACAGTGCCAAAAAACTGGGCGAAATTTATTTCGGCAAATTTCCCCTGACGATCAAGATTCTGGCGAAATCCCGGAACCGTGATCGCATCACGGAATTCCTTCGGCAAAAACCGAGTTCAGCATGGTCAGTGATGCGAAACCCCCACAAAAATGCGTTCAGAATGGTCGCAGGCAAGCTCAAGAATACCGCGATGAACAGTGACTGGGTGTGTGTCTTATTAAGCGGCAGTCGCAAGCTGCCCCCCGTTTCCTGTGAGTTGCGACGTTTTTCCGGTATGCATCTCGTTACCCTGAATTTTTGACAGAAACTAGTTCAGGATTCCTGAACTTGAAGCTAAACCATTCTGAAATAAGGCTTTAAGCTATACATTCCACTCGATACACCAAAGGAAATCTGAGAAGATCTGGAATTTGCCGCTAGTGCTGCACCCAATTTGCTCATCAAGGCCAGTGGAGCGGCACGACGAGGCGAAACGGTCAGCAAGAATGTTGCAGGCGCATGCGGTTTTGCTGTCCTTGCTCCTGATCCCACCCGTGGCAGGAGAACCTGGCAACACGACAGCAATTGTCGCTGTTGTTTCTTTTTCTGAAACCTCCTTCACAAAGGCATTACTGTACAGTACCAGGAAATAGTATTAGAGAAATGAAATACCGTACCACATAGGAGCTGCTCCTTCGTGGACTGAACCTAGGAGTCCTCGTGTTCATGGCTCTCAATTGAGTGTGGAGAACAATGAACGTTCCCCCAGGAGCTCGCTTTGAAGACCAGAAGTCCGAAATTGCTTGGGATTCTATACTCCAGAACACAACCGTCTTACTACAGTAGTCTCCTTGACAACAGCTTCAGCCAGCACCAAACCAGTGCAAACAACCGTTACACTGCAGTACATTCTTGTGTTGTGACATTTGAACGCGGTCAGCAGTGTGTGGGAGCACGACTACGGTAATTTTTTGAAAGCGTGTAACGAGGGCCAGCGCAGCAAAGGCAGTGTCTGTAAGGGATTTTTCATTCCTTAGCGCGCTACACCACTACCGCGAACACCCAACTGACAATGCACCTAACTAGGTCGTCGCTTCAGTCCGAACCAGGGCCTATTTTATCATAGTAATTTACTATGTTTCTCTGAAAATCAGAGTTGTTTTTTTAAACTACTCTAGGTGCCTTGAGTAAAAAAATTGAGGTTTTATTTTACTCTGATTATATCATAGCAACCATTTATACCCCTCTGAGGGTTAATGTATAGGGAGTATACCTGTGGATTTCCCCTGTATCCCGTACATGGCCATGCCCCAATATCCCGCCAAACGCATCATTTTACGCATACCGCCAGGCAGTGGCACGTCATATGCTGCCATCATTGCCACTGCTGGCAGCATCCTTCGCGCTGATTAGTCACCAATGCAGCATCACTGCAAGGCTGGCACACCGACCTTAGCCACCATCCATGCATGCACAACCGACCACACTCCCTCACCCACTCTGAGGCGCCCTTCAATTCACGCACCCTCCAAGAAGAGCAGACGAAACCCTCGTCTTGTTCAACCTTCCCTTCCTCCCCTTCACCAAATATATATCTCACACCTTCCTAGCAGAAGAAAACCTCCGCTTACCTTCGCCGTCGCTGCCGTCCGTCGTCACTCATGCCTCTGCCGTCATGGCTGGCATGGGTGAGCCCGACGATGGCAGTGGCGACGAGTCTCTCCCTTTGCGAACTCCTAGTTCGCTCCCTCTTAGCGAGCTCAACTTTCTCCATCGAGTAGCTACCGCTCCATTTGAGCCACACCCTCTGCCTTCTCTCAGTAGTGAGAAATGGGAGAGAAATTTAGAGGCTATGGTCGATGCTGAAGGTCATATTGCCGAACCTTCAGCTGTACCTGTTGTCCCTGCATCAACTCCAGCCTCAAATCGTGCGTCTGCCTCAAAAAGGAAGCTCCGCTTCAACCAGACTCATCTCCCATTCACGCCGCCTCCTCCTAAGCCTCCGCCACCACCAGAGCCAGAGCCCGTGCCACAGCAAGTGCCATCGGCTGCTTTAACCCCCGCCGAGAAGAGGGCGGAGGCCTATCTTGCCGCGCAACGGGAGTATACTGCCGACTGGTTACAAAAATTCCCCTGCTAATTGTTATCCGTGCTAATAGCCAAACCTTGCATGTTTCTTCGCAATTCGCAGTGAGGCCCTTGCAGTGAAGGATGCGGCCAACGCCTTCCCCAACCTCTGGATCATCGACATCGTTATTCATGGCTTCGGGGACTCGTATGGCGTTCAACGCCATAGTACGAGAGGTTCAAGGAGCTCCAGGTGATCATCCATAACACGAACCTGGAGCACCAAGGGCTCTTCAACATCCAGTGGCTTTCGCGTGGAGATGTTGTAAAACAACTTTGCAGGATCCTCGGCGCTGTGATTGCTGTGCTCATTGAGTACAACCACAAGCTGGTTCTAGTGGTCAAAACGCTCAAGTTCCACTTCAAAATGTACTTTCTGGCTGACATCATCGCTGAGCTCAACACGCTCAACAGGTTTTTCCAGAAGCGGTCGGTATGTTTTTATCCCATATCCCATTGGTCTTTGTGTTTCATGTCGCCGGTGGCCTGTTGTCATGTGTTGGACTATGGATTTTCCTCAATTTTGACAATAACTTCTCTTCTCCGCATCTTGCCACTGGTTTTATTACCCCAACCTCACATCAGGTCGACATCACCCTTGTCTCGCAGGAGGTCGACTGCACCATCACGTACACCAAGCATTGCTATGTGGAGTATGGCGAGACCTTCGGCGCGCGGCTGAGCAAGCGCCTCAACAAGTTTCTGCATAGCTATGACGAGAATGCCGGCAAGGTGGTGGTGCACGGTGCGGATGAGGACGGGCGCCCAGCTTCCCACAGTTTCAAGCTCATTGAGAGCTCCTTGCTAGGCCACAAGTATGGAGGCACCAAGGCGGTCTGCATCACGCTGTGCACCGCCTTCGCTGAAGACACCATGCAGAACCTGAACCAGAGGATGTGGGACCTGAAGCGGATGGCCGGCACGAAGCTGTACAAGGTGGCCACATGGCCGAAGAAGCAGGAAGTGCGGGACCGAAGAGCGCGCACTTCGGTCAAGTCGAACCTGGAGCTGTTTGACAACAAGCTTTCTAGTATGTATGTTGTCGATCCCTCCATGCACGTATCCCTAGCACCCACAATGTCGTCTCGCTATATTAAGATATAAGTATCCATGTTTTATAAAACGGTGGCAGCATCACCATGGTTCTTAATCGATGTGTTCTCTTTCCATGTCTCGAATCCCGCCCGAGCCCTTCCACAGGAGTGGATGGTCGACAGCTGAGCTGGAGTTGAAGACTTTCTGTCACATCATGAAGACGCACTGTGCAGATGACGACTTCGGCCAAGGCCTCGCCAATATGCTGGAGACAAGGGACTAAGCCAAGAGCTATCCAAATCTCATGAGGATCTGGCAGGCGAAGGCGGTTCTGCCCTTGAGCACCGCCGAGTGCGAGCGCAGTTTCAGCAATCAGAACGCCATCAAGAGCTGGCTGAGGACGAGCCTGTGTGATGCAAGACTCGGCGACCTGATAACCATTAGCCTCCTGGAGTACGACATGAACTACCCTGAGATCGTGGAGATCTGGAGGCTCTAGAAGAACAGTAGACAGGCAAAAGTAGTGGCTTATGAGGGGCGCAGCGATGCTGCCAAGGGAAGTAGCATGATGAGTCAGAGGAGGAGAGTGGCTTTGGTGAGAGTGCCTCAGAGGAAGAGGAGGAGGAGCATGATGAGTGATGTATGTATGCGTATTTGAAATGAAACGTGCGCCTATTGAACCAACCACAAAAACCCCTTAACCATGTGTTTGTTGGGGTGCACTACAGTAGCACAGAGTTGTGGAAATTTCTCCTCTGCACTACCAGTGTAAAATCTTCAAAATAGTAAAAAACCCTAGCAAATCAGAGAAAGTGTGAGGGTGCACTCTGATTTTTAGAGTAATGCAAAATGCCACTCCCCAATATCAGAGTAGTAAAAAACCAAAAGTAGGGCCTGGTAGTAGTTC